AAGCAGTGAGACAAGAAAGCAAGTGTGAGCACCGTGGGGAGGAACAAGAAAAGCTCCCGGTTTTCAGGTATTTTCTACTTTTCTCAGCAAAGCTCTTAAAAAGCCAGACTTCTCAGTGAATTACTTTATAATTACCTAATTAAAGGAACCTACCTAGTGAGCATGCTTTCAAAAATCTCAGGGTTTGTCCCAACAATTTGCCACTTTCTGAGGCATTTCAACCGATTTTTGTCATGTATTGAAGGTGTAATAGTTCATATGCACTCACTGCCACATTGTAAGCAAAAAGCTCATTAACAACACTTAGCACAACGCAGCCAGCTTCATTTTTGTTGCCTGTCTCCTGTCTACTACAGACACTTCTTGACACTTGCAAAAAAAAGAGGGTTTTTTCCTTTCAAACCCAGCAGAACAGTGTATTTTAACAGTGCATTTTAATCTGCATTTTCCTCAGCACACCAGGATATAAATTACTGCAAACACACAAATAATCAGCTTTAGTTCACTTAGAAATGATTTCCCTGTGACACTGGCAAAGGGCAGAACCTCACCCCTGTTTTTACCTCCTGTCCCCTCGCTCCCCCTTTAATCTGTTTTGTTTCCCTGGGTGCCAGAGCTGTAATTCCCTGGCTCCTGAGCCACAAACGACTCTCCAGCCTCACATGAGCCATCTTTCAGCTGAAGTCTCATAAAACCAAGGTGAAGAGCGTTAGGGCTGGTACACACAGAGATATCAACAAAAAAACCTGGGACATTCTCACCTATAAATCAGATTTTTAAACGGTTTCTGTTAAACAATTTGGATTTGCTCCCTCCAGAGCGGTGACTCGTTAAGGGTTTCACACTAACGAGGAGGGTCTTCCTTTCACTGGCATTGAAGGGGGGCTTTTTTCTACCCAACAGCCCATGGTGAAGTGTTTGGGAAAGGTGAAGTGTTTCCCCACCCAGCCATTAACAACAGGCTGCTGAGACAGGAACATCTCCCCAAAGGGGAAAAACCCAACAACAAAACCAACCCTCGATGAAATATTCAACACGAAAACCACAAAGGTTGTTAAACGAAGTGAGAGAAACTCCTCATTCACTGGGGAGGATTCCTGCAGAAAATAAAGGAATTGGGGGGATCTTTGGGGTCTTTTGTCCCACCAGGCAGCTCAGGGTGACCCCAGCTCCCCATTCCCCCCTTCCACCTCACCTGCTGCTCCCAGTTATCAGCAAAGTTTTCAAGCAGCTCACTGAGTATCTCTCTGTTCATTTACAACAATTTGAAACCAAACCTCTTAGTTTTGTTTTGCCTCAGAGCTGACAACAAGTTCAGAAACCCTTTTACACTTCCCCAAAGCAAAAAAAACTCGTGTGAAAGAATCCACGAGGACCTCACGGGACAGAAGCTGAATTTTGTAGTATTTCCATTTATTAACTGTTCCAAATCAATCCAGTAACGTCTTCTAAGGGCTGAGAAAACACTAAATTTAAATTTAGGAGTCTCAGCAAAAGGCCTCAGACATTTCAGTATAAAAACAGGTAACAAAAGGGAAAAAGGCCAACAAAAACAGGACCTTAAAAGGCATTTTCAGTATTTTATGCTGAAAAAACCATCTTTGTTGCTGAGAAAGTGCTTCTTGTCACTTGTTCTGAGACAAAACAGAACTACTTAAAAATAATAATTAACAAGTGAGTGTTTTAGCACTGCAGAAAACAACCTGCAGGGTGTGATGTGGACAGAGCCGGGTTTAAGGCAGCAAAGACCAGCAACAAATCCACTGCAGCAAAAAACCCAGAGCAGAGGGGAGACACAGAACCTAAAGGTGCCTTTTTCTGTCCCTCGGCAGCATCCCAGGGATCAGCAGCACGACACCCCATGGATACATCCCAATCCAAACCATCCCCAGCCCTGGTTCATTCCGCAGGCTGGTCCCCAATTCCTCATCCTCACAGGCCTCTTGTGGAGCCCAGGGCTTTGTACCACATGCAGCTGGAATCTCCGCAGGAATTGCAGCAGGAGATTCCTCACTAACAATCCTTGGACACACAACAGCCAAATAAATCCCCGGTTTTGGCTTCCCAGCTCTAACAGCCCCTAAACTGTTGCATATGTGACTATTGTCCAGCCCCGCTCCTGAACGAGCAGAATCCTCTGTAACAAACCCAACTTGCACAAGACCCAAGAATTATTCCAGAGCGGAAAATCTGCCAACTTCCAAACACCCCTTCCACTTGGAGCCAGCTCATATTCACGGGGAGAATGATCAGGGGAGGAATAAACACACATTTATGGTTTGCAGCCTCGTGCTGAAAGCCCAGAGACATCAAATGCTGCTCACGCTTGGCACATCATTTCCAAATATTTGCACCCGGCCTGTTTTGAAACCAAATAAAACGCCAAACGCTTTTGTTGCCCATTCCTTTTTAAACATCATCCAACCTCTCTGACACTGGATAAACCGCAGCAACCCCCGGGTGCAGCTGCCCAAGGCAGAGCAGCCGAAATTCAGGGAAAATTCGATACGGTGCAGCTCCAGCCAGTTCACAGGGACACTTGTTTAATCCAAGTCTAATCCACACTGTTCACACCCACACGGAGCTTTTAATTCACCGTTCCACTGATTTACCTGCTCCTCATTCCCGTGCCCCTTCATTCCTCAGCTCCAGCAGCAGCTCAGCTCTCAGCCCCCTCCCTAAAACCTTATTTTCGCTCTCCTTATCATCCCATTTAATCTGCTCCCTATTTCCTGCCTTGCCAATCGATTCTCCTCCAGGAGAAGCTCCTGCCGAAGTCAGAGTTTTCCCTGGAACGAGGAATCAGCAGCTCTTTCCCGGGTTTTCACGAGCATCTTCCCTGAGGCGGCAGCGTGTGAAAGGACCGAATTTTGCATCGTTTCACACCAGACGAGCTCAGCGGCTCCAGGAGTTCGCAGCATCTCTCCCTGACTAAAAGTACAGGAGTAACTCCGCAAAAGTAAAGACACTTCCCACCCTCCCACTCCAATATTTCGGGATAACGGGATGCTCTCCCCGCTCAGCGTTCTCCTGCTGGAGCCCCGGAGCTGTCCCGACGCTCGGATCAGGCTCGTTCCCTCCGTCCGACCGCCCCTAACGCGATTAACGGGAGGCTTTCCTAAAATTAGCACCTTTTCCAGCACCGACTCCCGTTTTAGGGGCTCGGTTATCCCTTATCCGCTATTCCCTCGGCTCTGGGAGCCCTCGTGGCGGGCGGGGGGGGGTTGTTACTGCTGCGACCCCTTTTGAGGTTTAAAAGGGGATTTTGAAGCAGTTTCTCTCCCCACCAACAAACCCAAACCCGAGGTGCACCCAGGCCCCCCCCGGATTAACTTCTGCTCCTTCCCTCTGTGCGAGACACAAACCCGAGGCTTTTTTGGGGTTTTTTTTGTATGTGTTTCTTTTCTCTTAAATAAATACAAACCCGCACAGATTTTCCCCATTCTGGTGCCCTCCCCCCCCCCTTCCAAGCACAGCACGGGGGTTTAAGGGGGATATTTTTAAGGCGGGTTTCTCCCCCCTCCCAGCAAAGCCACGACCCCCAGCACCCCCCAGGGTCCCGGGGAGGGGAAGGGGTTTGGAGGGGGGGGCCGTGGGAGAGGGGGGGGCGCGGGGCCCGGCGAGGGGGGTCCCGCCCGCACACAAAGGCGGCGACCCCCGTGATGGGGGGAGAGAAGGGGTAATAAAGGGGTCCGTCTGCAACCCCCCCACACAACCGCACCGCGCGGGGGGGCAGAGGGGGGGGCCCCTTTGAGGAGCAGGGGGGGCAGCAAGGACCCCTCAGCACCCTCCTCACCCCCCTCACCTCCCGCAGCCCCTCATCGCTCTCCCCCCCCCCCCCCCCCCC